AAATAGCGTGGTATGAGCTAAAAGTCCAGTGAGGTTCCAAATAGCAAATTGACCATTATTTTTTTTTTTGTACAAGTTTCGATATAGCAAAGTAACGAGCATGAAGAGTTCACAAATGTGAACAATAACACGTCAAGTAGCAATCTCAAAATGAGCGAGTGTAGAAGTTTTTCACAAGCAACAATAATCCAATAAGCAATAATCACTCCAAAGTATAAGGATACGGATGACTCTCAGGAGCCAAATTCCCATTTCATTACCAGAAGCTTGATCACGTAGTAGTTGACACTCCGTCAACTTTCAAGTAAGTAACCAATCCAGTAGAACACCACTGACACGACTCTCCGTCCACCATTCACACCCCCTACTGGGCCCAAAATCCTCAATAAACATGGGTGGTAATACTCGAGTATACCGTTAGTCGAGGAGATAACACTTCACTCGACATTACAAGTGACCCAGGGTTTGTTATCTAATCGACCAGGCCCTTGCCGGCTCGACTCGAGTAACTCGCCACAGGGTTTCCGGAATTCCAGGAAGTGCGCACATCATGAACGAGTATATCAAGTCAATTGCAATCAATAAACAAGTATATCACGTAAGGGCAAGTGCGATAAAGTACACTCTTGCCCTATCAATTCACGTATATAACATGTACTCATATTGGTCATGTATCAAGTTCAAGTATCAAGTTCAATTCAGTATTTGAAAGCACTCACCAAAAGATATAGTGCCTTTATTGATCACTTTCAGGGTATACTCCGGGTTCGGAGTCCAAATCTGCGATAAAACTCAGTTTGAGAACTTTGAAATATGACTAAGATTCGAAACTTAGACGTTTTATTCAATCAAAATCAAGAAACTGGAATTCACTTGGAGAGTAGTCGTGAAATAGTTGCTCGCTCTTCAAACTGAAAAATTTGATAACATTTTTGCTTGAAGATGACTCTTGAGTCAAAAGTGCAAATAAAACGGTTTCGTAGTGATTCATATCGTTTTCCTAAGGGTACAAGTTCGGTCAAGTCCTAACATATAACCCTTGATAAACAAATGACAAAGGTCCTCGATAGTTCAAGGAATAATCACTTAACCTTCACTCAAGTCACAAAGAGAGTTTTCTAGACCTCGAGTAAAAATTCGGGCAGCATGCCCTTTGTGTTTACCTAATTTCCAGCCATTTAGGCTTCATTATTTTTCTTCAACAACATCCCAACATCATACAAATAAGCAATTTATTTCAAGAGCCGTTCCATAGGCTCACAATATCATAACAACACGAATCGCATCAAGTACAAGTGCAGAAACGCAATGTAGTTCAAGACAGATTTGACGTACAAATGCGGTAATACCATACCTGAGGCTACGTTTATCGGATTAAAACGAAACCTATGCCGTTTCGAAGCTAAGACACAGAGCTACAACATTCATGAAGGTCACTTAGTCCATTTCCTAATGTAACTTAGTCAAAATCTCAGATTACTAAACCAGAAACCAATTCACCGGCAGTTTAAACGCATTATGCTGTAACGGACCTAACTCAGTGTACACAAGTCCGAATCAGATTTTCTTTGAAGCATTTTAAAGCTACTTCAGAACACTACAACTTTTATGTTTTGGCCCAGAGCTAAATCAGAATGGATCCTGGTCAAAAATCGTGATAAACTGGACTGAACTGAAGAAACGGACTGCTGGGAAATTCTTAAAACAGTAGGGGTATTTTGGACTTTTCACATCCTACGTTGCTCCGATTGAGCTGAAATTTTACAGGAACTTATAAAACACCATTCTATACAACTTTCCTTCTTTGACCAAAGGCCAATTCGGCCTCTAACATATAGGTACAATTTCGGACAGAATGCTTGGGAAATTTTCCAGAAATCTGGAATTTTTAGCTCTAAGTGTAATTTCCTCAAATTTCTGGTTCTAATCACCACTAAACAACCTTATATAACTTTAATTGCAACATTCATGCATCATACTTCAACTTGAGCAGAAATTCAGAAACCCTAGTTCATCAAATAAATTGGGGAAAAACTCCTACACATGCTAGCATCCATGAATCTACCACCAATCAAGCTACCAAGCTTACTTTAACCATGATTGAAAGAGAAAGTTAGAGAGATATCATCCTCTTACCTTGATTAGAAGTCCCTAAGAGCAGCCCCAAGCTTTCTCTTCCCAAATTTCCACCACCAATCACTAGATAATCACTCAAGAGTAGGTTTAATCGGTTTACTTTGTGGATTTTCTCACTAAGTTGTTGGATTTGAAGGTGAAATGAAGAAATCTTCCTTGGTGTTTTCTCCAAGCTAAGTTCGGCCAGCACTAGCAGAAATGAGGAAGAATTGGCTAAGTGTTAAGGTTATATGGATGAAGTTTGTCTTGGTAAGAAACCATGAGGTGGTGACAAGTGTCACCACCACCACCCTTTCTTTTTTTCTTTTTTTTTTTTTCTCTTTCTTTCTTGCCTTTCTTAGCCACCAATTTTCTGTCAACATGCTGCCAAGAGAGAAGATATTATGTGCAAAAGTCAACAACTTGTTGGGTAAGAAAAATGGTGGTCAAGCGGTGCGTTCAATCGGTAATGCGCGGGACCCGCCGGATCGCGCCGTTTTTCTTAAAAACTCACGTACTAGGGTTTTTATTTCCCATTCACTAACCTTATATCATTGCCACTAGTCACATATTATTTCTCACTTAAAAGTCACTTTTAATCATCAAATTGATCCTTGGCCAGTACCGAAAATTCATCCGGCGGAAAAATCGCAAAAACCCTAATTTTGCTCAAAACTTGAAACCAAAGCGTAAAACCTTATTTTCTAGGTTTATTTACACTTAGTGTGATATAATGAGGTAGGGGCCTTAATAAATAATAATTTTCAAATAAAAGGCATTTTTGAAGAAAAATGTAGGAAATTTGCGGGTCCTCACATCCTTTCCCCCTTAAAAGAATTTCGACCTCGAAATTCATACATGCACTTCGAATAACGTAGGGTATTTTCCTTATATATTCATTTCCGGCTCTCAGGTCTCACTATAGCCAAAACTTAGAGAAACAATAGAAATCACGAATCGTACCTTCTACTATCTCCGTTGGTTCAGGTACTGCCTGTTGGTTCAAGGCATACGTTCTAGCTGGCACTCTTGGCTTAGTCCCTCCTACACTTGCTTGTTCAGGGTTTAGACGTGATCTACGGGGACAGGTTACAAGCTGGTGTTCGGTGCTACCACACCATAAACATTTTCCCGCCTTTCGCCAACAATCACTCTCCACGTGATTGGCCTTCCCACAGTACCCGCAAGGTACTTGAGGGGTTGAGGTCTGACCTCCTTGTGAGGCACCTCTTGCTTGACCCCAGCCACGCGAAGCTCCTCTTGGAGTACTTTCCTTAGATATCCCTGAAATTTTCTCACTACTATCTCCTCGGCTTATCTTAGAAGGTGGCATATCAAAATCACTTTGTCCTTGCCTTTGACTTCCACCAGGCGCACCTCTCCTTTTTGCATGGAAAGCTCTCACTTGTGCCCTAGCAGTCTCTATCCTCAAGGCTTTCTCCAGAACCTCCGTGAAAGTATTAATTTGGACCGCTGCTAAGGCTTCTTGTAATTCCACATTCAGTCCTTGTATAAACCTCCGTACTTTTCTCGGCTCCGTAGCTATCAGTTCAGGAGCAAATTTGGACAACTTTGTAAACTGAGTCTCATACTCAGTTACACTCAACATCCCCTGACGGAGTTTAATGAATTCGTCCTCTCTCTTCTCCTGGATGATGGGTGGAAGGTATTTTTCGTTGAAGTCCCGTGCAAAATTTAGCCAAGTCCAGGCAGTTCCCTCTCTCTCCCACTTGGCCCTCACTACATTCCACCAAGCCCTAGCTGGCCCCTCAAACTGAAATACAACAAATTGGACTTGTCTCTCCTCAGTATAGTTTAGGGCAGCAAAGATATTTATCATGGCCTCCAGCCATTTCTCAGCCTCATACGGGTCTGGCCCTCCTAAAAACTTGGGTGGGGAGAACTTTTGGAATCTCTCCAAAGCTCTATCCTGCCCCATATCAGGGTCTCTAGGTTGGTTTACAGAACCTTGACCCTGTTGCTCCACCAACCGAGTCAAAATATTAGTCATCTGTTGGATGGCAGTGGCCACCTGATCTCCCCCGACAGTCTGGGGTTCAGGTTGCTGCTCAACCGCTGCCTCCCTCTCCTCTCTCGGTTCTGGCACCAGTTCCTGTGCTTGTTCACCTTCACGGCCTCGCCTAGAACCGCGTTCTCGATTAGTTTTCTTGGTCCGACTTCTTTTATCTTCCATGTTTCGCAGCTAATAAACTAGAACAATATAACCAACTAATCAATAATAGATCATAGCCACTAAGTAACTATATAAATACAAACAACATAAAACAGAATATTGCAAATCATAACCCCTCTAAATCATAAAACAAGGCAATACAATACATTCGAGCAAAACAAGTCACATAACTTATCGAGCATTAACCCTAGGTATCGCTCAGGCACTATACTTAATCAAGGCTCGAAACACATGAATAAGAAAGATCCCAAATCCCATGAATATCTTCAATATTTTTCAAGTCCAGACTACTCGCATTCCCTGTGCCTTTGCTTTCACCATCCAAACTTATCCAAATATTACACGAGATCTCAGCTAATCGTAAAGATGTCACTCTTTGGTATTCGGGGACAAGAATCCGAAAATATGATAATTCACCACTCAAGCTGGCCAGGCTCAAGAGCAAATCACCCTATTAGAGATTCCTACCCAACATACATATCTAAGATCCCCAACAATAGACAATTGTTCCATACTTAACAAGTCAATCCCCACAGTCCGAGAACCCTCTCCCGGCACGAGCTCAATAAGAGCTCTGATACCATCTGTGACGACCCCACCTCCCCCTAAGGCATACCAAAGGGTTCGGCGGACCGCCTGCCCAGCTCTCGCCAGGACTCACTCACTAACTCAATCGAGTCATGTACACACATCCATGAACCATAATTAACATTCACAATTCAAGCTTATAATTTACATTGATAGAAAACGGGGTACAAAGTCTTAATACACCAAACTAGCTCAAAACGTATACAATCCAAGTACATCATGTTCCATTCAAGGAATAGCGCGAGTACAAGACCAAAAAGTCAAAAGTCAAAACAAAAGGCTACGTTAGCTTTTACAAGTCTCGCGCGTCACTCGTATCCCTGTAAGGAAAATAAATAGCGTGGTATGAGCTAAAAGCCCAGTGAGGTTCCAAATAGCAAATTGACCATTATTTTTTTTTTTGTACAAGTTTCGATATAGCAAAGTAACGAGCATGAAGAGTTCATAAATGTGAACAATAACACGTCAAGTAGCAATCTCAAAATGAGCGAGTGTAGAAGTTTTTCACAAGCAACAATAATCCAATAAGCAATAATCACTCCAAAGTATAAGGATACGGATGACTCTCAGGAGCCAAATTCCCATTTCATTACCAGAAGCTTGATCACGTAGTAGTTGACACTCCGTCAACTTTCAAGTAAGTAACCAATCCAGTAGAACACCACTGACACGACTCTCCGTCCACCATTCACACCCCCTACTGGGCCCAAAATCCTCAATAAACATGGGTGGTAATACTCGAGTATACCGTTAGTCGAGGAGATAACACTCCACTCGACATTACAAGTGACCCAGGGTTTGTTATCTAATCGACCAGGCCCTTGCCGGCTCGACTCGAGTAACTCGCCACAGGGTTTCCGGAATTCCAGGAAGTGCGCACATCATGAACGAGTATATCAAGTCTATTGCAATCAATAAACAAGTATATCACGTAAGGGCAAGTGCGATAAAGTACACTCTTGCCCTATCAATTCACGTATATAACATGTACTCATATTGGTCATGTATCAAGTTCAAGTATCAAGTTCAATTCAGTATTTGAAAGCACTCACCAAAAGATATAGTGCCTTTATTGATCACTTTCAGGGTATACTCCGGGTTCGGAGTCCAAATCTGCGATAAAACTCAGTTTGAGAACTTTGAAATATGACTAAGATTCGAAACTTAGACGTTTTATTCAATCAAAATCAAGAAACTGGAATTCACTTGGAGAGTAGTCGTGAAATAGTTGCTCGCTCTTCAAACTGAAAAATTTGATAACATTTTTGCTTGAAGATGACTCTTGAGTCAAAAGTGCAAATAAAACGGTTTCGTAGTGATTCATATCGTTTTCCTAAGGGTACAAGTTCGGTCAAGTCCTAACATATAACCCTTGATAAACAAATGACAAAGGTCCTCGATAGTTCAAGGAATAATCACTTAACCTTCACTCAAGTCACAAAGAGAGTTTTCTAGACCTCGAGTAAAAATTCGGGCAGCATGCCCTTTGTGTTTACCTAATTTCCAGCCATTTAGGCTTCATTATTTTTCTTCAACAACATCCCAACATCATACAAATAAGCAATTTATTTCAAGAGCCGTTCCATAGGCTCACAATATCATAACAACACGAATCGCATCAAGTACAAGTGCAGAAACGCAATGTAGTTCAAGACAGATTTGACGTACAAATGCGGTAATACCATACCTGAGGCTACGTTTATCGGATTAAAACGAAACCTATGCCGTTTCGAAGCTAAGACACAGAGCTACAACATTCATGAAGGTCACTTAGTCCATTTCCTAATGTAACTTAGTCAAAATCTCAGATTACTAAACCAGAAACCAATTCACCGGCAGTTTAAACGCATTATGCTGTAACGGACCTAACTCAGTGTACACAAGTCCGAATCAGATTTTCTTTGAAGCATTTTAAAGCTACTTCAGAACACTACAACTTTTATGTTTTGGCCCAGAGCTAAATCAGAATGGATCCTGGTCAAAAATCGTGATAAACTGGACTGAACTGAAGAAACGGACTGCTGGGAAATTCTTAAAACAGTAGGGGTATTTTGGACTTTTCACATCCTACGTTGCTCCGATTGAGCTGAAATTTTACAGGCACTTATAAAACACCATTCTCTACAACTTTCCTTCTTTGACCAAAGGCCAATTCGGCCTCTAACATATAGGTACAATTTCGGACAGAATGCTTGGGAAATTTTCCAGAAATCTGGAATTTTTAGCTCTAAGTGTAATTTCCTCAAATTTCTGGTTCTAATCACCACTAAACAACCTTATATAACTTTAATTGCAACATTCATGCATCATACTTCAACTTGAGCAGAAATTCAGAAACCCTAGTTCATCAATTAAATTGGGGAAAAACTCCTACACATGCTAGCATCCATGAATCTACCACCAATCAAGCTACCAAGCTTACTTTAACCATGATTGAAAGAGAAAGTTAGAGAGATATCATCCTCTTATCTTGATTAGAAGTCCCTAAGAGCAGCCCCAAGCTTTCTCTTCCCAAATTTCCACCACCAATCACTAGATAATCACTCAAGAGTAGGTTTAATCGGTTTACTTTGTGGATTTTCTCACTAAGTTGTTGGATTTGAAGGTGAAATGAAGAAATCTTCCTTGGTGTTTTCTCCAAGCTAAGTTCGGCCAGCACCAGCAGAAATGAGGAAGAATTGGCTAAGTGTTAAGGTTATATGGATGGAGTTTGTCTTGGTAAGAAGCCATGAGGTGGTGACAAGTGTCACCACCACCACCCTTTCTTTTTTTTTTTTTCTCTTTCTTTCTTGCCTTTCTTAGCCACCAATTTTCGGTCAACATGCTGCCAAGAGAGAAGATATTATGTGCAAAAGTCAACAACTTGTTGGGTAAGAAAAATGGTGGTCAAGCGGTGCGTTCAATCGGTAATGCGCGGGACCCGCCGGATCGCGCCGTTTTTCTTAAAAACTCACGTACTAGGGTTTTTATTTCCCATTCACTAACCTTATATCATTGCCACTAGTCACATATTATTTCTCACTTAAAAGTCACTTTTAATCCCCAAATTAATTCTTATTCTGTACCGAAAATTCATCCGGCTAAAAATCGCGAAAACCCTAATTTCGCTCCAAACTTGAAACCGAAGCGTAAAACCCTATTTTCTAGGTTTATTTACACTTAGAGTGAAATATTTGGGTAGTGGCCTTTGATAAATACTAATTTTCAAATAAAAGGGTATTTTTGAGGAAAAATACAAGGAATTTGCGAGTCCTCACAACCAGGCTTTATGAGAATGAAGGGGCCGGCCTCTGACCGACGGGTTCTGAGAGCGCCCTAGACTAGCCATACTAGACATCAAGACAGAGAACCTCTTATCAGATTCGGAGTTGACGCTGGCTCTCCGAGACCTCTAACTAAGCGGCTGATGCACATATAATTTATTAATATTATATACATGTATATATTATAATTATATGCACATATGATATACATTTATAAATATAATAATATATAATAATAACTATATTTAATATGTAATATACATTATATTCACATAAAATATTAGCATAATTAATATTTATATATTATATATTTATATATTTATATTTATATTATAACATTTGCATAATTATAATTAATTATATATAATATTTAATTTAATTAGTTACAAACTTATAATAATGATATTATTATATTATATAGTTATTTAGCTAAATATAATTATATTTATATAATATATATTTTAAATTTATTAATATTATATAATAATATATTTATAATATATATGCACATATATAAATGTATATTATATGTGCATATAATTATAATATATACATGTATATAATATTAATAAATTATATAATTATAATTATAATTATTATTTTAAATATAATAATAACTATATTTAATATGTAAGATATATTATATTTATAAAAAATATTAGTATAATTAATATTTGTATATATTATATAATTGTAATTATATAATTATATTATAACATTTGTATATTTATATTTAATTATATATAATATCTAATTTAATTAGTTACAAACTTATAATAACTAATAATAATTATTATTATTTTAAATATAATAATATATAATAATAATTATATTTAATATGTAATATATATTATATTTATTATAACATTTGTATAATTATAATTAATTATATATATAATATTTAATTTAATTAGTTACAAACTTATAATAATGATATTATATAATTATATATTATAATTGTTTAGTTATGTATAATTATATTTATATAATATATATTATAAATTTATTAATATTATATGATAATATTTTTATAATATATATGCATATTTATAAATGTATATTATATGTGCATATAATTATAATATAAACATGTATATAATATTAATAAATTATATAATAATAATAATAATTATTATTTTAAATATAATAATATATAATAATAACTATATTTAGTATGTAATATATATTATATTTATATAAAATATTAGTATAATTAATATTTGTATATATTATATAATTGTAATTATATATTTATATTTAATTATATATATAATGTTGAATTTAATTAGTTACAAACTTATAATAATAATATTATTAGTTATATGTATTATATAATGTATATTAATCTATGTAATATGATTGATATTATCAATTATACTTATAATTATACATGTTTACTAATAGAAAATATTAATTAGTTATACTAAATTTATTAATACATTTATACTAATATATTTATTTAGTGAAAATTTCTTATATCCCATTTACAAAGAACCAATGAACGAAACATCAACTATAGTAATAATATGCATTTCTGGCACTGAACCAAACAAATGTATTGTAATGATTGATTTCATTCCAAATCCAGGATGAAAATGTGAGTTTTTATTTGCATCTTGCTCATTTTACATGCGTCCTTTGACATTGTTGAACTTTCTGTTCATGCTGTTTGTCTTAAGAAAAAATCCTGTTTTAGTTGAAGGAAATTGTAATGCCTGCCATCGATCATGAAAAGTTTCTCTTTCTCATTGCAACTTCTGATGCCCATTTTCTTCTGACTTGTCTACCTTTGACTCTGACCCCTTTGCTCATCTGATTGAAGTTTCATTTCGTGCATTTTTGGTGCTCCGTAGATCTTAGATTAGTTGAATATCTAGACTGCAGTAATCTTTTTTTTTTTTAATTTAATTGAAGTTACAGATTGTTTATCCTATTGCAATGGCCCCGGAAAATACTTCACATTTCGAATTGCTTGATCAAAATTGTAGCTACATGGCAATACTAAGTTTATACCCGCCAAAAAAATCCCACGATTCAGAGCTCAGTGAATCACGGAGAATTTACAAGTATTCTGAACTGGATTTGGAGGTCTTTCACATGAAGTATACATGTGACGGTGCACTGGAACTGCCACTGTGAGATCAAGATGAAACTATTGATTCCATTGTGCAGTGACATGGTTCGAAGACTCGGCCGAGTCGTCTCCGTCTTGGCCTAGTCCGAGACGAGACCACGACGAAACGTTTCCGAGATACGTGACAGACCGAGACGTCACCGTAAAGGATTGAAGGACCGAGTCATACCGAGTCATCCTGAGTCAACTTGAATTTTTATTATTTTTATTAATTTTTAATTATTTTTATTTATCATATTTTTTATAATTTTTAGAATATTAAACATTTCAAAAATTCGCGTCTCGCCGAAACCGCGACCGATGTGGAACGGTCCAAGCCGCGACCGCGACTTTGAACCATGGCAGTGACTGAAAGAGATTTCCCCCGACTCTGCAGGAAGAAATTGATCAAGTTTTGAGTCATTTAATCAGAGAAGTTTAACAGTGATATTCTTGACAAATCTCCTTTGCTTTGCCACAATGCAAGGTGTTGAGCAGATGCAGCTTACAGATTTCTTGGCTCATTGTATATTTTTGGCTATCATTGCTCAATGCCTATGTGATTTATGTTGGTTTGTTCAATATGGTGCGTGTGATGACATCCAATTTGAGATTTCTCAACTGCAACAGGATATTAAGCTGGCTGAATCCCCCATTCTGCGAAGCTTTAGTCAATGTCTGGATAGCTTCCAAAGCATTGTCAAGAATATCGGTCACTTATATCCA